ATCGATACGGAACCACCTTGTGCTTCGAAGTCTTTTATTAGAGTGAACACAATGTGCCTTGTTGTTTTAACTAATCAAATTAATCTAGCAGTCTCTAATTTATTTACCCTCTCCATCCCATTTTAAAACTCTACTTTCATTTTACTATGTTGTGAACACAAAACAAATTATTAAACTAAGACTGAAGGTGTAATTAGATAATGAGAGACCTTAAGAAATTTTAATTTGTTAACTCTAAAATCCATAACATTTCGAAAAAAGGAAGAAAGAAAGAAAACTCAAAAATGCCTGATTATGCTCATAAATGCAAGTTTCTCCACAACTAAAACTTCAAAAGGAGTGATTTCTCTTCATATATGTTGCAGCTCCATCGGCGGTGGCGGGAGTAGCTAGGGGCGACGAGTTGAGATAGCGACCATGAATTATATATGGGTTTTTAACTCGAACAATCATATTACATATTTTAAGTGAGGCTCTTGTTTTTTATTTTATTAATTTCATTATGGAAAAAAAATATATACTATCATTTTGACGTTAGAACATAATACATGTTCTGGACACATAAAATTCTGAAAATCGTAACTATCCGGAAATACTTCCTTTGTTTTAAAAAACAATAATCCACATTGAGTTTTGATATTTGTATTATTTTTCAAAACTCAATGTAGACCATTTTATTTTTTGAGTATGCAAGTGAAATATGAGAACAGGTTTTACTTTTTTTCAGTTCTGTTTAAAGTACGGGGATATTTATTCTCTCTAGAAAAAAAAATTATGAAATTTGTTAAAAATAAATATTAAAAAATTCCTAAATAGGGATTTAGTGTTTTAATTAATTTCAGAAAAAGATAATTAAGAAATTACCTCTAATACGGGTTGCATATAAAGTCTTTACTTGATTGGCAAACAATAAAGCTAGCGTCTCGTTTACTTTTGATGACCATTGCTTGCGTTTTTTATCTGCTTTGTTATACTCCTTCCGTCAAAAAATAATATCATGATAATAATGTTCAATGAGATTTCTGGATGCTTTATTTTGCTAAGCTCTTTTCCTTCAACAACCGCATAATTGGCTTTGTCTTCAACACAAAATAAATTGCCTTTTCTGCTTTCCATTTCGAGATTACTCTATGGTGGATGTGAATTTAGAATTGGCTTTCGGTTGTAGGATTCAAGGAACTAGGAACTCGAAATGATTATTCGTAAATTTAATCTAAATGACAGATTACTTGCAGTAAGTCAATGTAACTTTTGTCTATTCACGGTTATTTCTTACGACATGTTATCCATGCATCCTAAAAATTGATATGGCTAGTGACGATATCACTTAAAAGATGATTCTATAATCGGATTGTCAATTATGTCAATTAAAACAGCCCAAACCAAAAGTAATGATCACCTGAGAATGTTTACACACGAACACGAGAGACGAAAGGCCTTAATCTAATTCCAAAATGAGCTTTCAACAGGATTGGTCCCCAAAGTTTGGGGGTAGTTCAAGTGAGTCACCTATTTTTTTCCTCAACAAAATTAATCACCTAAACCATGAACCACGTCAATTTCAGTCTTTTTAACAGATTTTTCCGCAACTTAACGGATGTATCCCAAAAACGTTAAACCCCCAATAAATTAAGAATTTTTTTTTTATTGTGGACCAGGCAAAGGTTGACTACGATTTTTACCATTGTTTCTAATTTTTGGTTTAATTAAAGCAAGGGAAACTGAAAGGAACTTTTCCAATTTTTTCTAAGTCACCAAAACACAAAAAACCATCGGGATTCCAAGGCAAGATCTCCCTTTTGCCAACCCTAATGTCACCCGATTCATAAAAATCCGTTTAATTTCACATCCAAGGGAAAACAGAAGGTGTATTCCGAATAAGAATTGCAATTCTTGATCTGAAATGTGCATTATGTTATTTATGTTTACTGATTTGATAGTCTTTTCCTTATTAACATTTCAGAATATGTCTCAACCTATTAAAATTCCGAAGAATGTGCACCTGATTGGACAGGATGTTCCCAAGGTTAATAGGAATGTTTGTTGTGATTGCTTTAGTCTATATGATGTAAGAAACATGTACATGATAAACTGACTACTGTTTATTTCCCTTTCAGAGTCTGCCACAGCCTGCAAATCCTAAACCAACAAAGTTAGAGGGAAAGAAAAAAATTGTGGCTGAACCTGTAAAAGAGAAAAAGAAAGGAAAACAGAACAAAAAGTATGGATTTCAGCTTATTGATGAGCCACTTGATGATATTCAGGAAGAGGTATTACTTCAAAACTTTCCTATTTTTTTCTGGTCTACTTAATTAAAGGTATATCCTTTCTTATAAACATGGCCATTACAAGGTATATCCCTTCTTATATTTTTCAGGAGCATAACAAAAAAACATCTGCAACTAATGATTCAATCAAGACTTCACCTGCTACAAACACAGAGACTAATACCAGCAAATTTCAGGAGTTGTTTGGTGAAGTTGTACCCCTCCCCCCTCCCCCCCCAGTATAGGGTCAGTTACTCACATAAGAGGGCTGAGATGTTAAATGTGAAGAAACAAGAAAGTATATCAACCTTGGCCATGGAGATGCAGATTGTGAAAAAGCAAGATGGTAAGATTGATTGGACCTCACAAAGCACATATGACACCCTTGCTGAAATGATAGCCAAAGCCATAGCAAGAACTGATGAGTTGTATCGAATGTATGCTTTGGAAAAGCTTCCTCTTCGGATGGTGTGTTCAACTTTGGCATGAATCAGACCAAATTCTCTCCTGAAATAACAGTTGCTTCTATAAAAAGAACCAATGAGTTTTATGAGAAGTATGCTTTGGGATTGACTTCTTCATCCACAGTTGGTCCTCAGGTCAAAGGGAATGCTACTACAAAACCTAGACGCAAAGTGGTTCCATCCAAGCCTTAATTTGTGAAGTTTAGGGTTGTATTCTTTTGCTAGTGGTTCCATTCCATTATTATCTAAGCATTATTTTGTGTAGATGGCTGAAACCATGTATGATGGTTTTGTGGGATGCTTTGATGACAAGAAACGTATCCTGGTCCACTTTTGTAAGCATCCTACACTTTTGTTATTGTAAACCATATGACATAACTATATGAATTCGGTGCGTATTTCGACAACTTAAATCGTGTTCTTGTGCCTTTCTTTTGTTATGAATTTACATTAATGAGAATTGTTGTTTGATTATCAAAAAAATGTCCAGTTGCAAAACTTTGAATGTGATGTGTTGGGATTTGAGAGTATTAGACAAAGTACATTAAACACTTTCTTTACTTAATGTGGTGTTGTTTCTCAAGTATAAAGCAAAGAAACACATACGTTATTATTCATTGCTATAACAATAATTTCACCAAATAAACACATCCATTAACTTAAATTTGAATCTTCAACAGGAAGAGAAACACCTTACAATAACTTAAAGTTCAATCCTTCCATTCTAAGGAGAATGGACTTCACGAATAACACAGTACAAAACCCTACTAACATAATACTCCCAAACATTACAACACAAAGTATAACAGTCAAGAAACTACAACTGGAACAATTTATCAAACACCTTGTGCCCATTCTTCATTCTCTTCTTTAACTGAAAAAGAAGATGACAACGGCCAACATCTTGCTACAATTTGAGTAAACAAGAGCTTCTTCAAGCGCTAGATCTCTGCATCCTTTATGTTGCACTTTCTGAGCAATCCAGGGATGATTTCCTTCGATCTAGCACACATTTCGGGGTCATACCATCAAACAAATGTGCACCGATCATTACTCTAGGATTAAAGAAGTTATAAGTAATCGAGTTAGTGCGAATTCAACAATTTAGCAGTTAGGGTAAACTTACCGGATACAATGGGCACCCCCAAAACCTTCTCCCCGGGTTCTTGTGTTTCTAAGTGGTCACCAAATTTGCAATCAACCCGCAGTGGCACCTCACAACTCCGTTCTCAGCCATCTCTGATTTCTCTTCTTCCAACAGTCTTCAACCGTTCCTCTTTTTTTTTTTTTGCCAACAACTGGTGGTATGGAGGAGGAAGTCAACCCATTATTTATTCAGGTGAAAGGGTTTTTTGGGCGCCAATTTTGCTACAGGTTTCACGCCTTCACCATTTTTCCCTCTCCCCCCCCCCCTCCCTCCCTTAAAAATGGTAAAAATCTTGGTCAACCTCCGCCAGGTCCATAGTAAAAAATAATTCTTAATTTATTGAGGGTTTAACGGTTTTGAGAGACATTCCGTTAAATTGTGAAAAAATCTGTTCAAAACACTGAAATTGACATGATTCATATTTTAAGTGACCAATTTTATTGAGAAAAAAAAAATAAGTGACTCACCTAAACTATCCCAAACGTTGGGGACCAATCCTGCGTTTTTCCCTTCCAAAATCGACATATAGTATCAGACTTTGGCTCCTTGGAATACGAAATGTACGAATTTTGTAACTGTGCCGGGAAGGACTCAAACTGTCTAATTTCTCAAACATAATGCAGCATTTAACAAAAGCGACGGACTTCAGGGATAGCACCGACGGATAATCAAAGGATTCAAGAGTCAAATTTTACCAAAGTGATCAATCATTTCAAGTCAGATAGGCAATGATTCCAGCTATATCGTCACTTGTATTGCGACTAGGAAAATGTATTGCAATATCATTGATTCCTACATGATAACCAGTTGACAAAGAATACCAAAATTCCATCTAAATTCAATGATCATCTAATTCTAACCCTCCTGATTACCCACACATCTAAATGCTTCTTCCTCTGGGACGCCATAGTTACAAGGCTGCACAACGAATCAATGTACAGTGGACCTTCCTCTACAATTGACAATGAGTTCTCTTCACGCTCAACAACGCATACACACGCCTAAATGCTTTCCCAGAAAATATAATTTACAAGTGAAACCTGCACATTGAGACTAAAGCTTTACACTACTCTAACCATATATACACTCTCTTTACCTTTTCAAGAACTCTCCGTTTTCGCATCAAGATATAGATTCGTAGGCCCAAAACGTATCTGGATCAGGACTGAAGAGAGAAAAATCTCGGATTTCTAGGTTTGCTATATGCCAATCCACTAATCGAGCCTCAATCACCTTGAATATCAGCAGGATAGTAGGTAAAAGCCACCACTCATTGTCATCCCTGGTACCAGAACATGCAATTTTATAAGCCCTCGAAAAAAAAAAAAAACCAAATAAATCAAACACGAAGGTTCCAGCATAAGCAAATAGTGGCAGTAGGATTCAAAGGTTCTGGTATCACTGTCATTAACTATTGAAATGATTCCCTGTGGTGTCATCAATTTATTTTATTTCATTAGAATCCCATTTACTTCCTGAAACTTGAGATCTAAATCTGTTCAAAGTTATACATATTCCCTCTCCTCCTCTCTCCCATTGTTTCTAACCCAAACGACACGAAATATTTTTTTTTAAAAAAAAAAAATCATTTATAGTCTGAATTGACAACAGAAACCATCCAACAATGGTGCCAGCTGCAAAGTACTCTTTGAACTTACCCTTTGGAACTCCAAGCCTCGTGATGTGGCTTCAAATATGCAACTCCATAATGAATTGTAGTACAGATAAAAGCAACACCCTGAAAACAAAACATAAATTTATCAAGATTAATATTCACTGAGTGAAAAAAGAGAAGGGGCAGAAATTAAAGCAGTTTTATTATCAGTATTGCAGTCTAACCAGACATCTGAGATCTCATACTATATTACGAGTATAGTTCCAAGTAAATCTTTTAATATGGCACTTCATACCAGATTACCAACATTCCAGATGCTTGGCAAAAGAATTTGAATGGCTAACTAGTAGACAGTACAAAATAGGGAAAATGGGAGGGCACTTAGGCAGTTTTAGTTGGAAAATAAAAAAGACAAACAATTTGCAGGATCAAACCTATGCTGATAAGGCTATAGCTCTTATTTTTCAACTAAGAAGGTACTTCTTGATCAAACTTGACGCAATATTCATTTGGGAAACAATGGAAAAAGCATGACTAGAAGTGCTTCTGCACATAGATTTCAATTGTACTTGCATGTAAACTTCATACAGAAACATCAATCAAATTTAACAGCTTACCAACACTAGGCAAATGAAATTGTTGCAGATACAAGTAGAAGTGCGAAAGATTACATTCCAATAAATGAATGAAACTCATAATCATATTGAACAAAATGTGGACCAGATTCGTAAGACAATAACAGCAATAGCAACAACACGTCCACACCAGCAAAATTATATATGAAATAAGAAATAATTCACATCCACTGCAGAGCAAACAACCGATCTCCTAACAGTCAAAACATCAAAATATTAGATATCTAACATTGACTCTGACTGAAATACTTTTAAAAGAAAAAATTATCAATAAAATAAAAGGCCTTGCAACGGAAAGAAAGAAGGCCAACATTCATATACATGTGAAGATCTGATAACTGTGCCTACTAGCCTGATTTTACCATTCTGGTGTCACAGATCCTAAATAATCTCTAAGTATCACATAGTACTTCCAATATAAGAACTCAAGAAAATCACGGCAAATACAGAGGAACAACGAGCCTGTAAACTTCCCGTGGATTTATAAAATCTTTTGGTAGCTCTAGTCTTTTATTCTGTGAAGATAATGGTGAGTATCTAGTCACAAAAGGTTCCGCATACACAGGAATGGAAAATCAAGTTTTTTGGTATCAAAACAAATGCTTGGTCCTAATAACGACTCACCTAACTTTTCAGCACTAAGCAGATAACACTCAGAGAGGGGGTGTTGGGGGACCCAAGAAAAGAAGCACAAACAAACAAGCAGTGGCATTACACATGCTCATCTGAGTTAAAACTTACAATATTGGACAGAGAAGATGCACTCCATAATGCATATACACGGGCAAGCGAAGCTCGCCTAGCACCTTTACTGAATAAGGCATTCAAGCCTGCTGGAAAAGGCGAAAGCAACGACAGAGGTAGGATAAGCAGTACCGCAAGAAATGCCCCAATAGACATCCAATAGAACAGAAGCAGTATTAGGAGCGTAACGAAAAGGTCCGCCAGGAGCATGATAGATATCAGCAACTGCACAGTGTCCTGAAATGAAATGAGCTTCCAATCATTAGACATGGCATAAGATAATAAACGGGCAGAAATAGATCACATGCACACCTCTCTTCCAACGGGCCGGGTGTTGTGCAGCAAAAGTGAAAGGGGGAAAAGGAAATCCCTTCTGAAATCCAATGATTTCAAGGTGACATCATTTATGAGACCTCCATTCATCCCACCAGTTATCCTTTTAGTATATGGAGGACCATGTTTTGTTTTTCTATGACCTTTCTCAGACGTAGTTGCAAACTTTCTGGTAAAACACAAACAGGCAAAACGAAAAGAAAGGAAAGAAATAAGTACTTTAACACAACAGGAATTCTGCAATTTTTGTATAAACGAAAAAAGTCATGAACGCGCATTATACCCCAGCAGGAAAGGAAGGAATTGCAATATTTGAGAAAGAAGTGGACACAACATAAAAGCAGATCATTCCTCGGGGTGGAAGCATGCAGTTAATATAAGATATCCTTGCCAGATTTCATCTTTAATTTAGCCATTTAGATACGAAAACTAGTATTCCTCTTGGAACCCAAAAAGATTTTACCACATACCCGTCTAAAGCTTCCCATTCACACGCTGTGTAGTTTCAAGATTTAGCTAACACCATATAGTACAGAAAGATAATAAACAAAACAAAACAAAAGATCAAAATTCAAGTTTAGAGCAACTAAAAATCCCATGACTCCATGTGTGTCTGTGTGGGGAGAGAGAGAGAGAGAGAGAGAGAGAGAGAGAGAGAGAGAGAGAGAGAGAGAGAGAGAGAGAGACTATTTGTGTGTGTGGGTGTGCGTGTGTATTCTGTCATTCAGGTGGAATTGGTTCAATTACCTTGAGCACTCATCAGCACTTTCAGGTACATCAGAGTCATGGAGATCAGGGAGACAATAGTCACCAACTATTACCCAAATGCCCAACTGATAATACCCACTCGCAGTTGCCTGGAACCAACCAAGCTCAATTTTGACACCATGAAATTCAAGCTGGGGGTTTGCATGACTTCTGATCCAATTAATAACGGGGAGCAAAGTAGAACGGATAGATCCATGCCTTACTGTTCTTAGTTGAGCATTTAATCCAGAAACCAAACGGTTCCAGACTGATGCCGGTACATGCTAGAAAAAGTATTCACCGAGTCAGCCTGGAAATCCATGATAGAAAATTTTCAAACGATTACAAATGTTATGTTTAGAGACCTGGGCAAGAAGATTTGTCAACAGCGTGTCACTGTGAAGATTATACGGTGACATGTAGCTTCCATCACCTCCGAAGAAAATAGACATGGGAAACCTCTTCTGCATGCTTTTCACCATGTCCATACGTTTCTCATCTCCACCGAGGAAAAAATCAATATAAGCAATCATCAGGTCTGGTGTCGCTCCCACCTGTAAGCAGGTCATATCATCAGTAAGAATAAGCTACTAAAAGTATGCAAAAACATTTTAAAAGCAGCACTTTATGAAGATGTTATGAGAATCATTTTTTAAAAGTCCAATAGCAAAATATATATGTATCCAATCAAATCAGAAAAGCCAACCTTCATTCCTTTGTACAAAGCCCTTGATCTGCAAGATCGTAAACAAGAGTGATCGTATTCGGACTTCACATACTCTTGAAGACGATGCACTTTATTCCTTCTACGCCATTGCTTCCAGGACCAGGCACATGGATATGCAAGCACTGAAAGTATACTATGTACTGACCCTTCCCACCATTCATATGCAGCAACAGAATTTACCTCATCAATGAACCTGTTGAAAGCATCCTCATACCTGCAGTTAAAAAGGGCTAGCAAATTATGCATACTGCTGGAATGATAGAGATTACATCCTGTAGATTTGAAAATTTTTGTCCACCGACCGCTTTTAACAAGAGAGTAAATTCAGGTGCATCAACAATATAATCTGAATCAATTACAGGTAATAGGCAACAAAGTAGCATCCCTACATACTACAGAAGCATCAGACTTGTGTACTTTCTCATTCAATAGGTAAAGCTATCTTTCATATAATAAAACAAAGCAAAGGGGTAAAGCCAGGGGTAAATGATACTACATAATCTCAACTACATATGCAAGGAGCCAAAACGAATTAAAGAGTGGATTCTCCTTTATGTTGAAGATGACAGTAAAGATTCATCATTCTTCTTCAGCAAGTATAAGCAATTTTACATGAGCGTGAATCCTTACACAATCTCAGTAATTGCATTGGGAGGTGAGTAAGGAAGATGCCAAGGTTCTCTGAAAGTATTAGGTCCCATAAAGTACATTCTGTGGACATGGCTTTGAGTTTCTTCAGCTCTGGTGCCACGAACCTAAATATCAAACAAGAGCATACAAGTGTGAATGTGAACACTATTTCAATCAAACTAAACCAACAAATCCGAGAGATTCAGGATAACTAAATAACGGCACTTGCAAACCTCGGATAAAGAAAGAAGGTAGGGGAAATGATGATTTTGGTGTTCAATAGAATTTGCATGAACATAGGAAAATCCTGATCCAATCAACTTGATCCTTAAGGTGCTTAATGCTAAAGCTAGAAGCAGGACAAGGCATGCTAATAAGAGTGAGAATGGCCAGGGGCCTCCAAAAGCATATATCAGCTCTTCAAAAGGTGTATAGCAGTTTGGCATTCTGTACTTCTGAGAAATGCATTTGTAGGGACAAGGTGCCTTGGTTACACCGCCTATATCAATTTAAGCCATAAGTGAAATTAGTTTAACTCTCAAGAGGTACAGCAATAATTACTAACACCAAAAAACAGAATTAAAGAACATTATCAAAGCACCTCGTACATAGACATAGAATGCACGACTAGGAAGTTGCTCAAAGGAACAAGGTGTGCAGAGATTTGCATCAGATCCTACAACGTTCTTGAAAGTGCCAACAGGACATTCCTGTGAATCGATGTAGCATATATAAAGAAGTTGCAAAAAGTCAGTCACTCATGGAAGAGATGTGACACTTGGAGGATCAGAAGTCAGTATTTACCATTAAGCAACCAAGAAATAAAGAACACATCAATTATGATAGGAAACAACATACAAGACGAACAATTAATCAGACAAATGCTAGTTTAGAAATGCAAGTCTTAAGACATCAATAACTATACTTAAAAAACTATACGGTATTTCATATGCTCCTGGTCTAACCATTAACTCTGATGACAATAGCAATCAGTAAATTCACCAGCCTAATATAAGCCGGAGACTTAGCATAAACACATCTAGTAGCAGAGACTTATCCATTTCTCTGGTAACGAACATCTATTTTTCTCTGCAGGAACTCGAGGTTTGTAAGGGACTTCATTCATGTCCCACCTCAGACAAAAAGAAAAAGAAACAAAATAAAAAAAAGAAAGGAAATAAAGGGACTGACGCCACATGTTAAGCCTTGAAATTGAACAATGGTGTGCTTGAGAAAAATTTTGGATTTTCTATGCAACATTTTATTTACTACATATACACACAAAATTCAATGTAAAAAGGTCAAAGGGAGGGAAGTTAAAAAGAATAAAACCATTTCCTCTCACTTCCAACTAATTCTGTACTCTCCATCATCCTTATCCAAGTAAAATTTGTACCAGATAGCATTTTTGCAAGAAAATCCAATATAAAGAAAATAACCAAAACCCTGTGATTATACAAACAAAGCAATGCAAAGACAAAGAAAGAGACATACCGTACAGAAAGTACCATACAGACCTTCAGGGCACTTTCTCCCGGTAACAGTGCCCTCTTCTCCACGAATACCATCTCCATTCCCAGCACCACCACTGCAAAAGGTTAAGGCAAGGACATGAGACCAGGGCTAAATGTGGCTGTCCTATCAGAAGTCATAGAGAATCTATTGGAAAATTATATGACAGTAAAGAAATACACATAAGTGTTTGCAGGATGAAAGATAAATAGCCTTGATCCATAAGGAGTTCATCCAGCCAGAAAGGGTGCAAAGGAATTGTTTGTGGACAGTCCACTAGGGAAGCAAATAAGTGAACAACATAATAATCACAAGTCTCACTGGATGAAAACAGCATCAAATAGGGAACAAAAACATTGCAAATATCAATTCTACAGGAACAGCAGGTTTCCTAGACAAGAATAATACAGTTACCTTTCAAAGAAATTTAGCCAAGATTACATGTTCACTTTCAGTAATTACCAAAGTTCTTGATGTAAATCTAGCTAAATTTGGGAATTGAATGACAGTCTAGTGGTTAGGTTGCTGTCTTTCCTGTAATAGAGCAGGGTTCGATTCCCACCAGGGGTTGTAAGGGGGATTTTAACCCACATTTAAGTGGGGTCCACTGGGGTGGATTTTTATTAAAAAAAAAAAATCTAGCTAAATTTTGTTGATTTGCATTTCAGCGTGTGTTGATGTAGAAGGCTGCCAGTTTTAATTTGGGGAGGACTTGAAACCAAGACACTTAATCAATGGGTCAAAGCACCGGTAAACTAAGCATACGGAATAACAGTAAGAACAAATTTATGCCTGAAGACTCTGTATACCTGTTGGTAATGGTGCCATTTACAGTGGCAAGTGGAACATATTCATTTCCAACATATATATTTGACCAATGAAAATGGACTCTGCCACCACCACCACCACCTCCACCAAGAGGGCCACCATAACCTCCAGCAACAGACAAAGAGGAGTTCTCAGAAAGGGAAAGTGATTGCAAAAACAGAAGAATAGTTCCTCCAGAACCTCCACCAAGTCCCCCTGTCAAACTGCCATTACTGTTTTTTGCTGCTTTACCACAACTTTCACCATCAGACCTCACAGATCCATGAACATCAAGCTTGATAAGGGGCCACTGAGTAGATCCCATAACTGGAGATGATGAAAAAACACTTGATCAGAAAAACTAGTAAAGATGACTTCTCTGTGAAATTAAACACCAATCTTGGGGCCCATTTGGTGTACATGAAAGCCTCTAACAACAACAAGTCACCAGAAAATGAAAATATATTGTTGAAACCATAGAAGCTTTTTACAATAGAAGGCTACAAAATCAACTTTTTCAGAGATGTTGTCAGTCAGGCACCTCTTTGAAATGAGATGTCCTAAGAGTTCAACGGTCTAAACAGTTAAAAAAAAATTAAAAGAAGAAATTAGATATGACCTTTTGTTTGGTTAATAGGAGGAAATTCAAAAACAAGGGATAGTTTCTATCATTTTAGTTACTGTCTTAGGGCTCGAATTCTCTATATCTTCTTAGGAATGTTTTTTCTAGAGAAAGTTCCAAAGGAAATCCTAAATGCTTAACTTGACAAAATATGTATTGAAGACTTCAGTGAAAATGCTTACCAATCATCCCACCACCAGAAATTCGCCCACAAGAAGAATTTGGAAACCCAGAACCACTTCCGAGTTCACAAGGAAGATCTGCGCTACCATATTTCTGGCCACCTCTGCTTAATATTCCATTGTAAATCCCAGAACCCCCTCTTCCTCCATGTCCAGCCCCACCGCCAGCTCCATTGGAATAGTTTCCTTGACCAACCCCATTACTGCAACCTGTAAGGCTCAAATCGAAGAAGAGTCTTCTTCATCAATCCTTATAAGAAAGGATGAAGTCTCATTTGACCTCAAGAGCAAGATTGACTACAGAAAGCGATGCAGAAAATGAAGCAACATTCCGAACAGTTCAGAAATTAGCTGAAGCATTACCTAACGCAGATGCAGTTATTGCTCCAACACTGTCCACAATAACAGTTCTTGACCTGTGGATGTGAATTATACTCCCCTGGAGTACCCCACTCACATAAATGTCCTCTACACGGCATATCTACAAAGGTGAAAAAAGTCAGTGCATAGAGAAATTAGTAAGACCCATAGTGAGGAGATCTTCAACGAAATAGTGATTTGACATCTACAAAGGGACAACCCATAAAAGAAAGACTGCTTAGGAGCGCTCATAAAAGACAAACTAGCTCGGAGGTCGAAAAATCATTTCAAATCTTCCCCAAACTCTCACATATAAAGATAAGGAAATTAATTTTATTTCCTTTCATCATTTTCAAATAAGATATTTCATCCAACAGACCGTTGCTGCATTTAAACAAACTACCTATAGTCATACTCGAACATTAATTACTGATTATCAAGTTAATCTAAACAAAGAGATCTACACTTTTCAAACTCAATATAGTATAAAGCTATCTAAGTGACACCAGGAATTTTCAATCTCGAAAACGTCACATCTATCTTTTCATCGTTCCTACAGTAATAAGTATTAGGATAGACTAATATATCTATATTTGATCTCCTTTCAACATGCATGAAAATGAAAGTATCCACAAATTGGGATTACAATATATCAAAAATAAATAAATAAACAAACATAAAATTGACTCTGAATACAATATGATAAAAAGCACAATGATAAAACAAAATGAAACAGACAAAAAAGGAGCACTTACTTGCAATGAGAATGTCAAAGTGTAGTTAACATGACAGTCATCTGGAGGCGTAATAAGATCCATTGGGCAGTTGGGGCTCTCACAGAGGGACTTTGTCACCCTATATTCAAATGCACTTATAGGTTAGCAAGCATGGCAAATACACTTACTTCACAGCAGGTAAAAAATAAAGGATAATTATAGTTACATGTTTATACTGCTGTCATCACCCAGGGGAGCTTGAATTAAAGATCCTGGGCCAACCTTTCAAAGGAAAAGATGAGGTTAGTCATATAAAACATGGAACTGTAAGTTGCAAACAGAAGTGAAGATTGCATGAACATACTAAACTCTTTCAGAAATACAGGAAAAATTTAAGAGAGAAAAAACCTGAACGCAAGAGGGAGAGAGAGAGAGAGAGAGAGAGAGGAGACAGAGAGACAGACAGAGAGAGAGAGAGAGAGAGAGAGAGACCAAAGCATCCTAGTGCAGCAATAGCAATTGCCTCAGGAACAACAGGAAATTTTCAAAAACCAAGCTCTTGTGACATCAAATTTGTTACAATAATTTTTTTAGCTACTGCCGGAAACCCCATCAAGTTTGTTACTACAGTTTGAGACTAAAAGTTTACATAGCAAAGAGCCTTTTAAAAGGAATTAGAAGCACATCGGTTCTCTGATTTAGGCTGCTTTTTAAGAGAGGCTAACATTTTGTCACTTGAACCTTATTTTTATCCTCAACCACAGAAAACTGGAATATAAAAGTTAAAAGATAGATCGAAAAGAATTTTCATGCAAACCATAGAAAGTTCAGATATAAGGAAAGAATTTGAAAATGGTTCAAAATGCTTACGGTGATATTATAGAACAATGACAAGGATACACGCTGCCCTTTGATAGCATCACCATGACCCGTCAATGTAAGGAGTCCTTGTCCGTATAGAGCCAAATTTGCATTTGAACTGATGATAGAGTTGCCCTGTAAGAAGTTAACATCAAATCAACTAATTAAAAACTTATGTAACAATAGTTCTTTAACATATGAATGGAACAATGTGATAACAAAACCTTTAAAACAGCAAGATTCCTGACTTCGAGGATGGAAGTGGTAACAACTGTATTTCCACCACCATCAACCTCGATTTTGGAGTTCAGCATGAGTAACATTTTAACTGCCACTCTTAGAGCACCATAAACCTGCAATGAGACAAGTTTCAGCGACTATTTTGTAGACCAGCTCCAAGCGAATTTCAAATAGAAGCAAGCAGGCAGCCAACCCCCAGTAAATAAGTTTGACAGCTTTTAGAATTCTGTTCCCTGTAGATATTTCTCTGAGATTTAATCCACTAATAAAATTGTACCTTCCGCCCCGGAAAAATAGTGCAATTTCGGAATGCAAATCTTAAAATCAGATTTATGATATTTATATTATCTAAAAATTTTTGTAAATTGGTACGCTATACATTGCTTCATATTAGTTTTTCAGTTTAAGAGATTAGATCATCTAGTCAATAGATCTTAGTTTTCCAAATTGGACTATTTTTTGGGGCAGAGGGAGTAACATTTTAGGTATTTTAAATCCACTATAACAGTTTGATAATTTTAAGCCCATCAAACGACGTGTGCTGAATATTACATTTTGAATTCGCTAAGATTGTAATGATGTGTTTTAAACCCACTGAAATATTACTGGTCTATAATTACTTAAAGCACTGAAATATTAAAGCACGGTCTATTCCACTGCAGAATCTACGTGAGTTTTGGATTTCAATCCCTAATCTTAAAACACAAAATATCACTAGTCTAGAATTTCTTCATTGTGTAACAGGAGATGATAGAATTTCTCTAATTATCTCCGAAACTTGTATCCCATAAATGTAAAGCTGCCTTAATTTTCCGGATTAAATAGCTAAACCCAACAGCTGATTCAGTAAAGAAGATACCCTCCACACAATACTTCTATAGAACTCATAACCGAAAGCCAATACAGATAGATAAAAAGATGTAACCATATATTATTATATGCAAGGGAATGTTTTACCTTTATGACTGAATAACTCATAAGAAGTTCCTCAGCAACAAGCTCGAACTCAGAAACTGGATAATCGGATAACCCAAAACTGATGCTGCTTCCATAAAGGAGACTGATTTGACCTCTAACCTTCAAAGAGAAATGATGTCAAAAAGTAGCCTGAATGTGGGAATTATGTACACATTTAGAAGCCATATCACAGGTTTGGAAAATCTCCGCTTCCAGGAAAAAAAAAAAGAAAGGAAAACCCCGTAAAGCAGCAAATGTCACATACTTAAGTTATATATCTAAGAGTTTGTACTGCTACACTACATTATCAAAAGTTGATGCCAAAACATATCAAGAACTCTTTATGATTACCATGACAGCTCAACATTTCTGATGGTAGTAAAGCATCAATAAACTCAAAGACTGGCCAAGATCATTACAAGAATGCACATTCCAATCATATTATTTGTAGAGTGATGAAACAGCATAACTGAAGCGTGAAAAGCGATGTACAGGTTTGTGACAATAGGATGTCGTCCATCAAATCTTCTACTTTGAGAAATAACAATCTAAACAGTTGTTTATTGCTGATTTTACCCACATTGTTCTCCTTAAAATATGCTACAGAGTTCTATGCATACTTGCACAAGTCTAAGTTCTTAGGAAGGACCTGAACTCTCGACCACAGCAAAGGCACCAAAACTTTTGCATTGTTCTCCACGTAGACATTTGTCCAGAGAGGACTAGTAGAAAAATCTAGCAAAGGAGTCTCGGTTTCCGTGGTAATGTTGTCGTTGCCAACCCGTAAACTCAGCAGAGAGGCATCAAAATAAGTACCGGCTGCTCCAGAATTCATCTGACACCCAGTACTGAAACCACCTGACAACAAAAACACATTGATTGAATTACTGTTCATAGTAGAACTATTATAAACATAGACTACTAGCATGGAAGAACAATGAAATAGGCAAGTCTCCTTGCAGAAGAGCGAGAGCAATGAGTCTTGCATGTCCTGAAATTTGATAGTTACACAACCAACAATAACATGACTTTTTTCCTACTATTTGTGGTCTGTTATAGTCATGATAGATGTTAGAAGAATAATAATCAAAGTCTTTATTGGTCTAACATGTCACACGATTACTTATATTAGTATTGCAAAAATTATGACAAACGCAGAGAGAAGAAATTCAGGGAGATGATTGGCATTAAGGCAGAGCCATTTACATTATCAACTTCAGTACCACAAATCAAGATGATTCAAGTTTGGTAGTATTAATTACTTTCCTGAACTATCTTCATAGTGCAGATAAAACAATCACCGTAAAGAGACATTGCTCTAGCAGGATGATTAATTTGCAGCGTGAACCTAAGCTTCACAAATCTGGAAAACCAAAAAAAAAAAAAAAAAACTGATGGGAAAAAGGAGGGTTTACAGGGATGGTGTCTACTGACAATTGAGTTAACAGATACACAAATAAAAACCAGAAGATCTCCCGGTGACAAATATTTGGACGCCAAAACTACTTCAATTATAAAACTCTTACTGATCTGCATTATCTACTCTTCTGTATTAATAACTTGCTAGGTATTTTCTAACTGTGAAAAGTAACAATAGTGTTCCAAGTTCAGTTTGACTATACATATATATATATATATAGAGAGAGAGAGAGAGAGAGAATAGTGAATGCAATAAAAGCTTAAAGCTCAATAAGAACAAAGAAAAATCATCTTTAAGTTCCGCTTTCCAAAAAGATGTAATTTTAGAACAATGAGGTTCCCTATAACAGCATCCAATCATAAAAAGTAGGTCTTCATTGTTAATCAGGATTAAGATGAATCAAAACAATGAGTATGGATGCTGATACGACATGGAACCATACGGGCTTGGCTACACACACACATATAAGTATGCTTTTTGTGGACACCTATGTACATACATTAATGCGAACATGTATTGGTGACAAATAGTGTTTACATGCAAGTCATTCTACTCAACCAAAAAATATATACACTGAAACAAATAACGAATATGAATTCTAATCGAAAATATGCTTAACCAAGAATATTAGGACAGTAAAAAAATAGCTAGCCATCTAGACGTCCACTATTAAGCATAGAAGTAACAAGTTTCCAGCCAAAAATGAAAACACTACCACATTACTATAACATTTATTCGGCGTCCAAAAAATTACAGCAGATGAAAAAAGGAGCATTTATATTCAAGTGACTACAATTTATGTACCACGTGCAGTGACTTTTACATCCTCTTGTTTGCTGTAGCAACTCAGCGAAATCCTTCCTCCTCCGCCTCCGCCCCATCCCCTGCCACCAGCAGCACTGATGATACCAAATCCCTTCCTACAAGGTAATGTAATAAAATAGTTAAAAGCCCATAAATTGGTTGTAGAGTATTCATTCAACTTTGCAGCAAAGTCATGAAAGAGCCAGGACAAACTATTCAAGCAAGGAGCAGACAGCCAGGGTCAACGTTCGAATGCCTTCACAAACACAGGCAAATATGGGTCCTATCCTGTCACTAACAGGACTTTTAAGTCCCATTTCACTTCTATGCATGGTTGTTCCCTGTTAGTTTTTAATAGCGTACAGATTAAAATGTTTAGTCCAAGACAACCAAAAAAGTGAAGCACAAGAAGTCAGATTGTAGTATTCGATTTAGCAGGAGAATTCCCTGATTTACTGGTATTAATATAACACAGAAAAAAGGGCAGAAAATGGCATCTACATCCAAAAAGTCAAAGCAGAGACTCACAGTTTTTTAGCATAAACAACTATACTCCCACCAGATCCCCCTCCTCCCTCCAGTCCTCCTTCCCCACCTTCTGCAGTCACAGATCCATTTATTGATAAAACATCAGTAATATTAAGCAAAATTCGTCCACCACCATTCCCTCCAAACTTGTGTCTGTCAGATGTACCGCCACCTTTACTGCCATAACACCATGGATTGGGGAGATTCGTCCAACAGTAAACATCACCACCCCAATAATTAGTGTCGTTAGATTTCACACAGGATGCACCTCGTCCACCATGGCCTCCCCCAGCTCCATCATAGCCAACTGGAGTCCCACTGGTCTGAGAAGGTGGAGGCCCAGCCAATGCTGTTGCATTTATTGAAGCTTCAGGCCCCAAAGCAAGACTGTCGGCATATAGCTTAATAGAACCAGCAACAATAGCAGCATTGCGGCCAATTTTGATGTTTCCAGATAAATTGAAACTTAAAGTGCATCCTTCAATTGGGCAAACAATTGAGACATGAGGGAGTATCTCAAGGTTTCCTTTACCAATAGCATATACATCAGAATTCAGTAGTAGTTCTGAGTTGAGCACACAAGTAGTGTCGAATGATCCAACACCATCAAGGTCCTTGCAAGAAACCAACCCATTCTTCAGGACAGTGAATCTTTGTTCCTGTAAAATAAAAGGGTACAATCCCTCGGACCTATCACTTGAAACTGACAGCGAATGAGGAAGTGACCCTCTGATAGACTCAAATGCCTCAGTTTTATAGATGCCCAAGTTGAGAGAAGCCACAGTGATCAGAAGATGTCCATAAAGAATACAGCAGCAGAAATACCAATGATTTTTCACTGAACACATCAGAACCAACAAAATCCCAACTTGTATCACTTCAAATACATGAATAATGACCTTGGACTACTGCTCTGCTTGGAGAAATAGTTGAAATGAAATAACCCAGGCACAAACATATTTCAGTTGATTATCTGTAATCATGCACCCTCTTCTAGCTCTGAGACCTGTGCACCATTTTCTTTTTTGTGCATAACTAATGCTTTCGAGAGTTTCAATCCTCAGCCCTGTTAAATTTCCAGGGAGAAAACAGAACTGCAATTAGTTACAACATTTTTAGGCAGTGACGTGACCATATATAACACTTCTGAGACAAGAAGAAAAAAGGAATTAGATGAAGCCATGAACTTGATTCGTACAGTGAGTCACTGGAAGCAATAGAATTACTCTTGACCAAGAAGAATATCAGCATGATTGAACATATTATGCTTGACAAGATTATAACAATAAAAGAAAGAAATTGAATAAAATAAACAAAAATGGATTAAAACAACAAAGTGATGGAAGAATGTAGCAAATAGTTCTTGAAAGTATTCTGGTGATTGTAGCTTTTCCTTCACGAACGCTTCCAACTAGGCAATCAGGCTTAATTATGAATTTTAACTCGACCAAACCATGCCTAGTATTAATGGATACCCCCAGCAAAGCAACATCCAGTGCTAAAGATTCGAAGAAACTCGAATTGCATCGAGAGAAGCACTAATCCAAATTTAATATTAATTTATAATTGAAAAAAAAAAATAACCTTCTTTAAAATAATAAAAAATGATGAACAAAGAAAACAGACAAAACATAATTCTGGAGAGAAAAAATCAAGCCACCATTTCCTATTTCCGTGCAATGCAGATCGATCAGCAAGCAAATTCACTTCAACAAAATTCAAACACTCAGCAGCAGAACGGATCATCCCATCCACACACATACCACGTGTACGTACTTTTTCCCCCCAACAAATTCACATTCTCAGCTTAAAAAAAGCACACCAAAAATGAAAAATCCTTCCCTTCCCAAACACAATTCAACATAAACAATCAATCCATACCGAGAGTAAGAGTGACAGTCTGTGAGTGTGAGTTCTTTCTTTCCCTTTCACTTACCAGAAAAGAAGAAGGAGAAAATCCTGGAGAATCTTTCAACGGAAAGTTGAATTATCGTCAGAATACCGCCAATTAAATTATTCAAACGTGCTTTTACTTCCCCAAAAATTAAAATTCAGTCACAATCTCTCAATCAGTTGAATTCTCCAAAACTTTTTCCCGTTCCGAAGGTATCAGGATTGTTTAAATTATCATCAAATTCAACTGAAAGAAGAAATGATGGGCAACAAGAATGGGTAGCCTAACTAGTAGTGTAGTAGTATATCAGAGTGAGGAGGGAAAAAAAAAGGACGAGAGAGAAACTGGGAAGAGGGGAAGTGTGTGAGTGCGTGTTTTTCGTTTTGGTGAAGAGAGAGAAAAAGCACGCACACACACAGTGACACACAGAAAAGTCATAAATGAGTCCAAACTAAGGCTCCGGATTCCGGAAGGAAAATAGAGAGAGAGAGAGAGAGAGTAATGTCAAGGCATTTTTTGTTTTAGTAGCTTATTAGCTCTTTCTTCCAGTTCAGCAGCTGTGCCTCGCTGTACTCCTCCTCCCCCCGTCTCTGAGATCCACTCTTCTTATTTGTCGCCCACTTTTTACGTATATTAGCGATTTGCTTTTTCTGCCATAACTTTTGGCCTTTTTCTTAGTCTTAATTTCGAAAATGCCATTCTGCATTTCCTACCCTCTTTTTATTTCGTTGGTTTTTATAATTTGGTTATAAAATTTGTAGAAAATAGTATTCCACCTGTCTTCTTATAATAATGCTTTCATCAGGTTTAAAAACTACTACATCTTTACTAAAAGAATAGTAGAGATCGAGTTTTGAGATTCACACTATTTTTAATATAAATTACATAATATGAATTATTTTTTCTGGATATAGAGAATAATATTCTATCCGTTTCAAAATAATTGTCAAAATATTTATACATCATATGCACATAAAAGTGGTAGGGAGCTTTTTCATATATAATTAGTATGTGACTTTTAAGGATAGGAAAAGGTGAGTAAGTGCATATGTGTATTTTTTTTGTTTGATTTTGGTCAAATTTCGACATGGGACGTGTTTAAAATAAGAAATAAAAAAATGAAAAAAGAGGTGTAACGTAATTATACACCATAAATATATGATGGTTCTTCAAAAATGTGGTGTTTAGTCCTACCTTTCTTTCTTTTTTCCCTTCCTACTAAGGACAAGTGTAGTAAAATAATTCATCTTCTCCTATTTGACAAAGACATCAAGTTCTTTTTGACATAATCTTTCTAACATAAAATTCAGTTTTTCTTTTTGTCCATCCGATAAAATTCAGTTTTTTTATTATGTTGATTGTGACCATAATGAACCAATTTGGCACCGTTAAATAGACCTTCATCGGATCCAGATTCTATGACCAAGTAATTTGGGATTTCAAATCAAAACAAACATTTTCCAGAATCCTCGTTTCACCGTTCATTTCTTGCATGATTGATAGGAGTATTATATTTCAACAATTGGGACGGAAATAGAAAACGATAGGTTTGAGAAACATTTTTGCTTAGACTTATTTAACTTTTTGTGGGTAGAAATTAGTATGTTTTAACACTCTCCATGTATTATACCATCTTCGTCGTATTTTAATAATTCTTTTTGTTCAATGAGTCGATTATGTTATTTTTCTTCTTCTTAAAAAAAAAAAATTAATACGTTCATATTATGTTTATTTCAATATTCCGACACAATATATTTTACGTCATCGTCGTCCCATCTGTAGACTATATAAACATGAAACTTGAGATGTATGCTTTCATTATTATTTCCTTCCTCTCTCTCCAGCATATTAATTAACAGTTACGATCAAAAATTAATTAGCAAATTATTGGCAAGCGTTACTTTTCCAATAAATACAGCACATGATCCCATCCAGAAATGAACAACGAAAATTGATTCATTCTCAGTTTTTTGAGATTTTAATTTAGAGGACGTTTTCACAATCATTAAAAACTCTTGGCGGTTGATGTACAGTGCACATCATTCTCATCTTTTCTGATTCACTCACAACACGGCATCAGATCAAAGCGGGGTTTTTTTTGTTAGGTGAACTCCCCTGTTTCTGAGCTTCAAAGAAAGGGTACACTTATCTTTTTTCCTGGCGACAAGGAAAAGCTATAAATCAATGTTTACTAAAATATGAAGGAAATGAGATGAATATGAACGGCCCCATTTTCGCCAGATAACATTAAAAACCTCATTATGGGTCCTCCTTATGTATACTAATTTGATGAATATTGAATATTCAATTCAGATAAATTAGAAGTGAGCATATTTCGACGTAATAATAATCTTTATTACGTAATCTAGTTAGGTATATAAAAACATTTTCACCTTCAATCCAAATTGATTTCATAAGGAAAATATTACTTATTTCAATTGAAACTGCATATGTAACGTAATTTATTTCAATTTTTTTTTTTTTTTATCTTTCTTGGCTATCCTTATCCACTTGTTAACTTTTGTTAGGATAAAATATACATATAATTGTTTATTTTGTGTTCAAACTTTTGTGTATGAAAAGTTCCTTAAATAAACAAACAAATCTAGGGTCGGTTGACAATAAAGTGTAGACAAAAATGCATGGAATTTTGATTATAATATATACGGTTGAGACATATGAGAGCATGGTACTCGTCATGCAGCAATATGATTATTTTACGAATCATTTTAATTTCTTAATACGGTGGTACTTATTTTTAGAAAAAGGACAGTAAATAGCATTAGTCTGACCAACAAAATAAGATTATAAGAGGAGAAAGTATAATGTACTCCTCCTGTTCTTATTATAAGGCATTTTGATTTCATTTTAGGTTTCACTTAGAATGCTTTTTTAGTTGAAATAAAATTTTAAAAATATTTCATCCCTTTTACCCTATTAAAGCAGAAGACATGAAGCTTATGTGGCAACTACATATGCATTTATTTTGGCTCCAATGCACTATATTTCAGATTTCAGAAATCTTTTTGCCACGTGTAAGTCTCTTTTAATTAGAAGCTATATAATTTTTTTTAAAATAAAACACATGTTTTACTACAAATAAGGATTAGTTACATTTCAAACGCATGGATATATTAATTCAAATTCAAATGTCCAATCGTATAGTTTTGCAGGCTTAATATAAACAAAAAATAAAAATACCTAAATCCAGCAATTAAGAATAATGCCTTATAAACTAATTATTTATTATTCCATTATAACCTCAGATTTATAGGTATATTTTTTTAAGCCCCAAACCATAGCATAAATGATATATACGTCAAATTAATTCCTCAAAAAATAGTAATTCAATTAGATTTTAATAAAATAATAATTTAGAGGGGGCGCCCGGGCATCTGTCCGGTCCAAGCATCTAGTAATAATTAAAAGAATACAACGAATGTGAAAATATATTTTTAAAGTTTTTTTCCAATTAAAAAGATATCTTAAGTCAAACTTAGGACGAAATTAAAATGTCTTACAATAAGGATCGGAGGGAATAATATTGTAGATATAAGTTAGGTGAAAAGCCAATCCATCCCCTGAATTGCATTCCATGATTTAATGTGTCCGTCTTTTATATTGAAAGGTTATCTAAATAGTATAATATTATTAAAAAACAAAAAATACCATGAATGAATTAACTACTTTATGGCTTGTTTGGACAAGTCTCATTTTGCTTTTTTTGTCTCATTTTATCTCTTAAAATGTCTCTCAAACACAAAACTCAATACTATTCAAACAACTTTTTATTTCACTTTTTAAAATTTATTTCAAATATTATTTTTACACAATTTTTATCCACAACCACCAAACCACCACCGCCACCACTAAACCGCCTACCGCCGCCGGCCGGCGACCGACCGACCAGATTCCGGCCACCGGCCGGCGGCGGTGGGCGGTCCGACAGCAGCG